ATTCATGATAGAGGCGGATTTTTTTCTTACCTCCTTGCGGACTTGGAAGCCATCATTCATGTTCCCTTAATCTTAGTTCCGCATGTGCAGCCTCACCCCAATCCATGCCTAATAACACATCAAAGGGCAAGTTATCCTCCACCAAGAAGGTCAGAGAGTGGAGAACACGTTCCACCTTCCCCTCTGCCTCCAGCCGAAAGTATACTTGTACTCCCTCGATGTATCGATCCATGACAGTCTCACTGCTATTAGCTAACTTACTTATAATGGGCTCTTTTAACTTCTTAACTTTAAGCCCAAGACGCAATTTCTGCAAACCTCTTTTACTAATATAATTGCGGGTAGAACCACTATCTATCATACCTCCTACTCTAACTCGATTTATCTCAAGATCTGCAATTATTAGCTGTCCTTTCTTCCGTTTCATTTCAGTCCAGGCTTGGCGACGAGCGGCCAACTCATCACCCACGCCAGCGAGGGATCCATCTAGAGAGATGCATACGTTTGCCACCTCTGGACAGTGTACTAGATGGGGACTTCGTTCCTTTTCAATTTCTGCCATTGGAGCCTTCGAATGGGAGGATTCTGATTTTTCAACATCTGAAGCCCCGGTAGAGGCAACTGGTACCTCTATTGGCTGTTCCCTTTTGCCCCCCTATAATCAGAGCAATAGGGGACAATGTGGTCGGGGTCCCCACATTTGAGGCATTGGTCTGCCTTCTTTCTTTCGGCCCAAACTTTTTCGGTGATACCCAGCTCTTTCCAAGGCTCTCCTTCCGGTAGGCCTGGATGTGGTGGGTATGGCTTGTCCCATTTGTTATACCATGAGCCTCTTCCTCTACCCCAGGTGGAATAAGAACCACGGCCACCGTATGAGGGACCATTTCCCCTTCCTCCCACGTAGTGGCTTCCTTCACCACCACCCCTCTGGGTGCCGAATCCTCTTCCACCACGGCCGCGACCTCTTCCTCGGCCACGCCCTCTTCCTTGACGCCCTCCCCCGCGGGCTGCAACAGCCGCGTAACTCCCCTCCTAAAGTACCGGTCTGTTGGATTCATCGAGACCATAATCTACCTGATCCCAGGAGATGGTCTCGGCGCCTCCTTCCTCAAAGGTTAAAAGGAGACTGTCTTTCCCAGGTATAGACCCTGAGATGGTGCGGTTTTGCCATCTCTTACCCGCTTGCAGATCCTTCTTGTAATGGCAATAATTCGCCTCAGCGAGGAAACCGGCATGATCTATGGCGATCTTGCCGAACTTCTCATAGGTCATCCCTTCTTCCTTGGTTCGGGGATAGAGCTGTGTTCTTAAGGGATCCGGGAGTGCTCTTGCAAAGCTATTCAAAATTTGGGCTGGCGTTAATCCATGATCAGGGCATTGCAATAGTTCGTCCAATGGTTGCCTTTAGTGCAGAGGTAGTTTTCCATTTCCTGTCAGGAAGACTGAGGATCAACATCTCAATACGTCTTGCCAAGTTTTTGTCCTCAAATCTCTCTCTTATCAATTTAAGGAAATCCTCAATTCGTGTTTGCTGCGAGTATTCTACCATAGAGCTGCATCCCGCTTCCTTTTGCAGCGAGATGGCGAAGCTCAAGGCGTCGCCTCCCATGCACGAAGTTGCCATCAACACTCTGTCCCAATATGGAATACGTTGTCCATACACATAGGTTTCAATTGCCGCCGCCCAGTGTAACACACTCTCTTCTTTCTTTCCATTGTAAGTCCAGGGCAGTTTAAGTTTTATCTTGTTCACTTGCCCGGTTACCTGAGGAAGTTTTTCTTTTGAATCCCCAMTTTTCTTCTTTCCGCTCTTGTCATCATCACCGTCGTCATTTCCATCTCCTCCGTCGCCTTCAACTCCTTTCATTATCTTTTCTATAACTTCCGGGGTAAAAACTTTATTAATATGTTCGTCCAAAGCCTGGATGTAAGTTTGCACATGTTGGTCAACATCTTTGGCTGACTTTTCCACAAAATTATTCCAGACGTTTTCGAATTCAACTCGATGTGCTTCAACTCTTTGTAGTGTGTGATGCACTAAATTCATGTCTTGCCTTGTGTTGAGGACTGTTTCTCTGAGGAGAACAAGCTGCTCTTCTATCGCAGGGCGTTTCTCTTTTTGCTCTTCTAAAGCCTTCTGCAATTTCTCCCCTTCTGCCTGCAGTCTTCTCTTTTCCTCTAACTCTTGCCGTCTGGAAGCTATCAATCTGGCATCCAATTCAACCCTCCTTTCTGCCATCAGCAGGTTACGTTCGGTGACGTCTGTCACAGTGGCCAACTTGGCGACGAACGCATCTCGCTCAGCGTTAGTTTCTCTCAATGGTTCGCTGGAATAGCAGTACCGTGTCCCCCAATCCAACGGTTCAACGGGTAGCCGGCTACTTCTTTCAGGGATATCACGACGACGTCGCTGCAACATCTGTTCTTCTTCCTGTTCTTCTTCTTCTTCTTCTTCTTCTTCTATACTCTTCAACTCTTCTTCTAACTCTTTCATCTTCTTTTTGGTTTCTTCTTCTTTCTGTTTTTTCTTTACTTCTTTTGCCTTTTTCTTCTCTGCCAGCCTGCGGTCTATTTCAGCCTGTTCCGCAGGTGTGGGGCCAGACTTGACTGCTCGTGATCGCATCAACATGCGGGACGTGCACACACGTCCGAACCCCAACGGAAACATGAACCTAAACAATGGTCCCAACAAAACAGAGAGGGCCAAGAGGCCCTGGATGGGATAGTCATCCATGGTGATGGCCGGCACAGGTGGTCCTCCACCGGATCACCAAGGTACTATCCCAATCACCTGACTAAATATTGACTTGTGGCAATAGAGTACTTGTACGCTTTTTTTTTTTTTTTTTAACTGTAGAAGGTGCTGTGGGTAATCAATCAACAAATCAGATTGAAATAACTACTTGTTGATATGCTGTCTGGCTCCCTGGATCAACCTTCGGCAATGTGTTTCTGATGTCCCTCTTTTTTTTTTTTTTCCTTATATACTAACGGGGCTGGTTGTCTGATGCAGGTATGGAGTACAGCGCAGATTGTCAGATGCAGATGGTTCACTTATCCAACCAGGCAGATATACTGCGTTCACTCTTTCTTTCCTTTCGGGCTAAGCAGGCCCTATCGTTGCTCAATATCACTTGTATACTGCCTGGTACACGCTATCTGACGTGGCATATAGCCACTCCCACATTGATTCTTTAATCCTTAATGGCAATTCCCAGCCAGCCTATCAAGAGGGGTAGGAGAAGAAAACTACTCCTACTTCACAGAACACTGGACCACTTAGTCTAGTATGACCAGTCCCTGACACATCACTCTTGGATCATCAGACTCTGACAACTCAGACCTGACAACTATGACAATCCAGATCCAGACTTCGACTCTGACCAGATCAGCAGCAGTCACCTTCAGAGGGTCAGAGAGAGAGRAGGTAGGGGACACACACATACATGCAGGTTCAGGGAAAGGAGGTGCTTCTCTCTTCTTGAAGATGCCGCCGATGATACTCCACGACGCTCCGCACGCTCCAGGTAAGTAGACTTCGCCACTTCTTCTTCCTCAGCCTGCTTCCCCACTATCAACTCTTCTTCTCTTCCTCCCTCCTTCACTCTTCCTCCATCACCACTTCTTCTCGCCGGCCTTGATCAGACCAGCGCTATGAGAGTAGCGAGCATCTGCTCCGATACCAAAATTTTGCATGGATCCTAGGAACCATCTCACGCAAATGTGTACTTGTCATGCATCATCTTCACACGCAGTGATCAATAGTATCAACCATAGACAAAGGTAGAAAAGAAGAGGACCGAATTTCACAGCTTATATTATCCGAAATATGAATACAAAGTGTTTCAAAGTTCCCCTGAGTCCAGAACTCATCAGCGCAACACCAATCTCTTATCAACTCATCAATATGGCTTCCAATGTATCAGCACTACATCTGCAGACAATCTCCAAGTCGTCAATGTGGTCACTACTTCTTCAGCGCCACCTCTGCAGGTCACATCTAACCCAGGTAAGTATCTTCCATAACCGAACCTTGAATGAACACTTTCAGCCTCAGTCCCTTCCTCCTACGATGCATACACACTATTCACTCATGAGGATCTACTCTGGATACTACTCATAGCTAGATACTAACCCACTAYTACTAAYGCTAACTTGCTGGGCAGCTATGGCTGCATCACTTCCAGCATACAGGTTTCTCCCTTCACTCAGCGCATCTTCTCCTTCCAGCGCTGCTCCTACTGGCTCAACGCACAAGTGCACCAGCACTTCCACACATAGAATGCCAGTGGAGATCTGGCGAGGAATGAGGCTGGCTGCCTCCTTTATACTCCTCGCTGGGTCTGCATTGGCTCAATTCAGCCTCTTTCCTTGTCCCAGACCCTGCATTGCATGTGTCCCAGTAGAGTCCCAATGAAGTTCAACTGCTGCTGAGGCCTCCCGGCCTGAATTTGGACTTGAAAGTCTGGATCTGGACTGACCCCTAGACTTAGACCAGAACTGGGACTGTGCCTATTGACTTTACTTTCGAACAGGCACAATTTTCARTGAACTGACACATTTACTGCTTGAACAGACACTTTACTTTGCACGAACAGGTACACTGCCTGTACGTACAGACACACTCTTACCCGAACAGGCATCTCCTKGTGAACAGGTAAGTCTTTTAACAATGCCCTTTGCCTTAGCTTTAGATGTGCCTGTTGATAGAGAACTTGACCTTTGATCTGATTTCACGTTTCTGAGCTCTGGCGAGATACCTTTTCACAATGCTTTACTTTTTCAAGACCCGTGCTGCTTTATTTTTACAAGGCCTAAGGCCTATATCGGGTAAAGGCCCTTTTATAACCAGTTTTCAGCTCATAATGGCATGTCTAACGCACCTGATATCCGTGCGGAACTGGCATTCTAGCTCTGAGAAACTGGGTTATTGACTGTTTTTTCTTTCTCTCTCTCAGCCCGAGATCAATACTGTGCACTTTTCTTATTGGATTCTGCAGGTTTGCTGAAGCTTCTTCACCACAAAAAAAGGTTTCCATACTCGTCGATCTCGCCAATGGTATGGGGGCGGAGCATAATGTAATCGGTAAAATAGACAGGACAAAGAGGTTGGATGTAGTAAAGAATACATTGCGTGCGCTGGCAAGGACTCTTCGGGCGTCTGACAGAGTGGCACTCACAACATCGCCGAATATCGGCGTCGACGTGAGCGAGGTATGCCACTGACTCAGAGAATTTTCAGGCCAGCTTCTCCTGAAACAAACCGTAGCTCCCTCTTTGAGACTGTCTCTGCTTTAGAATGCTCTGAAATTCAATGTATTTGGACCTAAATGATGGAGTCAGTCTGAATGCATATGAGAGAATAAGACATACAATGTCACACATTGAGAATGTTGTGCAGTGGAGACAAGCCTTATGTTTCACCTTTATGCTTATGCTCCACAGACTTTGTGCCACGCCCCACTGTATGAAAAGCGAATAACCACAGCTATTTAGAATAGCTGCAAAGCAAAGTTTCACTGCCCATATGGGCCGGTAATGGGTTGGTATTGTGAAAATAGAGAGTTTCAGTATGGCTGGACGACCTTCCCAACTGAAGGAAATGGCTAGTGGCTGCGTTAATGGGACATTCCTGGTCCAACTTTGTGCAACCACCCTGGTCGTCAAACCACCAGAGACACAGAAACAGAACAAATTGAGCTGTCACATTTGTCCACCAACCCGAAAAGATGTCCACTTGCCTTTTATCAACCCATGATATATACAAAATGGGCCCAGTGTCCCGGGCAATACAACAGCAGGAACTCCAGGGTCAAGCACCACAGGCAGTCCTTCAACTATTCAAGTGGAACTGGGGGAAAAAAAAGCAAAACGAGATTGGATAACCGTAGTAGCAGGAAGCAAGAAAATGCGTACTTTTGCTGCCAGAATCGTTTGGGCTGGCAGAGGCTTCCCCCCCCCCCCCCCCCCCCCCCCC